TCCCTACATGTTACTGCCAGTAGAAGTAACACAGGAGTAAATTCTGCTGCCAGCAGACTGGGCACACATTCTCATTTCTTACTGGTTTATAGCAGTGCTGGTGAAGCAGAATCTGCAGTAGTTGCTCAAGGTCCACAGTATAGGCTGAGCTACAGTGAAATGTACCTGAAGGCAGAATATGCCTGAACTTCAGCAATTTTCCAGTCAAACCTCTGCATGATCAGTCAATTTAACATAATTTTATGTTGAGCACATAGGCACTTTATTGCTGTAAAGCTCTCAATACAATTTAATCCTCTGCAGATCAAAGCTCTCACTGTGCAGCTCTCGGCAGGGTGATGACTCTGGATGTAGGATATAGGAGTAGTGAGACTTTGTGTGGTAGAGACAGAGCATGGATATATCGGGGCTTTCTGTTAGGTTCTAGAGAAAATAGTCCGAATATATTTGTCCAGGTCCTTGACATGAATTGACTTATTTTGGATATGTACCAAGAAAAATAAAATCAGAATCACACTGGCTTTCTCTAAAACATCACCTAAAAGATGTCTGTTGAACTTCGCATTTTTTATCAGTTATGCACCTGAATGTGAAAAATATTCAGACATCTTTTACAAAGTGAATTTAGTTATGTTGGCATATGAGTGGTGACAAACTCCTGAAACACATCCGTTCGTTCATCTGATCTACATACATATCTAAGTGGCTTTAGGTGAAGCTTGTCTGGAAAAGGGGTTTCCTTCACACTGCGAACTACGAAATATGACATCCGTATTACCCTCAGCTCCTTCTACACAAACCATGGAGAATGGCCTCTTGTGGAGAAGTGATGGATCCTTTTATAGGGAGAAAAGCAAAGGCAGCAAGTGTGATGGTGTTCTTCACCACACGGGAACAAAGCAAAGGGTTGAATGAGTTAGTCAGCATGGCAGGCCCTGTGGTAACACCTGGTCTGAAAGCTACCTAGCTGTGCATTCATTCTTCTCACTGAAACAAAGAAGTGTTTATACCCTCTTATCAAATGTTAAATAACGCCTGAGATGAGGGAACTGCAGGAGACGTTCAGTCTGGTTAGGTTAAATCAAGCCAACTCTAAAGGTAATGTTCCTGCCCAGGTGTGGCTGTTGGGCACATCTGAGTCAGAGCTCACAGCTGCCCTGCTCCCGTCTCAATCTTTGCCTGATCAAGAAACAGCAAAAAGGAGCTGAGAGAGACTCCATGCTATTAAAACACTGAATTTCCTACAGACGGAATATTTTCTTTCTTAAAAAAATGGTTATAGAACAATAACAGAATTCATCTCATGATCTTAAACCATGTGAGCACCACCTAGAGATGTAAAATTCAGCCAGTGCTGGCAGCGGACATCATCCTGCTGATCTGCTCTGAAAAAGTTGCTGCACTTACAGTAAATCCCTAACCAGGCCAGTTGTGCAACAAGTTGAAGTGACACAAAGCATTAACGTTTATGGTGGTGAGTCAAAATCAGACAAACATCCTTCTTTTATAAGCTTTCTCACAGCATGTAGTAGCATGTACTGCGAGTAACGAAACATCTGTTACAGCCCTAACTCTCTTGCAACCGAGCAAGTGTTGCAATCATTCTGCAGAGCCAGGCTTCACATTAAGGCTTTAAGGGGCAGATGAGGAGTATCAGCAATGGACAATGCTCAACTCAGTTGATGCTGGAAGAAAGAAATAAAAAAGTCTTCAAGACCCGGGTTTCCTGTACAGAATATAAAAAGTAGAGCATCACTATATTGCGAGGTGTCCAATACTAATTTTAACTCCAGACCGAGAGACTTCTTTCGGTGATACGTGCAGTTCATTCAGGTTCCCAGAACGCCCCTTTTCAGCAGGTGTAGGCATGGGCAGAAAAGTGAATTATGAAATACGCTTCGACATCTCGCTCTTGTGTGACGTTACCCACGACGCTTCAGACGTGGAAGGCTTCCCCTTCTGCACAGGCAGATGGGTCTCCCTGACTGCCTTGTGCTTCTGCACGTTGCCCACGGTGAAGCAAGGCTCATTTCTCAACCCCCACAGTGGGCAGACCACCACTGACCACGAAGACTTGGCCTGCTTTGCTCTGTTGCGTGACCAGCATAGACAGAGTCAACAGAATTCCTGGGAGTCAGAAATTTAAGACTGAATGCAGCAGAACACGTACCAATTACATACAGACATTCTCTCATTTCCCATCAATTCAAATGCACGCTTAAAAAGCACTTGTTTAAAGGCTTTGCTGACTAGAAATAGTTTCCTGTGTGTGTGAACTCTTTTTGCATTAGACCCTAAAAATTATGTCTGCTTTGGATAGGACTGATGACTGTAAGCTGTGCAGTCCTACCAGCTGCTGCAGAACTGAGACACAGAAGTGGGGGTTCTCTTTTAAAGGGAGAGGTTGTTGCTCAGAGCTTGCCCTGCTTTAAGGCTCTAGGCAAGTTCCTGAAGCAGGTCTGAAAGGCTCTCATTTTCATTTACTGTATCTCTATACTGGTCTCAGAAATGTTCAGAGGAAAATTCCCTTGGTCTTCTGCTTTATTGTGCTTTTCTTCCAGAGTGTCTGTGCAGAAACAGGGTTAATGATTCTTAAAAGATCAGCTTGCTTCCCCCTCTCACTTCTGAAATACTTCCCCTGTATTTATTTTTCGAAGGGAGGAACTTTTCTTGCTCACTTACGACGCCAGATTACTGATCTAACTGTTTGCAATGCAACTCTTGAACCCTTCAATCAGAAGGGGGATATCTGTGTAGCACCTACAGACATTACCAGAAAATTCAGCTCTTTGGATTTCCTGCTTATTTCTGACTGTGAGAAGAGCAAGAGAGTTTAATATTATGAAACCAGCAAGGTAATGCAGTCGACAGCATGCAGCTGCCAGCAAATTCACTCTTGTCCTTCATTTCCCCTTCCCGCTGTTTGTTTCAGATCATTGCATATTTTATCTTGTCACAATTTAAATTTCAAGCTCTCTGGCTCAATGCTGTGTCTTTATTTCAATTTGTAAAGTTCACAGATGATGGTACTCAAAAACCAGCAAGAAGAGCACAGCTTAGGAAAGAACAGTGTAACTAAAAATCTTTCTTTTAACAGGGTGTCTGCATCACCTTCCGGCCCCATCAGCAGCGAGAAGAAATAACAGACTTGTTTGTATGAAACGGACTCTATTGTTTTTAATAATCAGTGTTGCACATACAGGTTAATTAAAAAAGGTACAGTTTGTGAAATATGTCATCTAGTTACAAGATACAAATCTAGGCTGATTGCCATGGTATCTATTGGTGCTCAGCCACTGTAAAAAATTTAGTTTATTTTCTGATATACAAAACCTCAAGCGAACATTCATTGTTAAACATTCAGTAAAGGTCACAGCATTCTACTACACAGTTTCATATAGTGTTTTAGTGCAAAAGAAAGTACAAATATAAAAATACTGAGGCTTGAATTAAAAAAAAAACAACAACAAAAAACCAAGCAAGCCATGGAGTTAGAGGTGAGTGTCTGCTATGGGTATTCTTCTAAGCTCTACGATCTGGGAGTTAGCCATGCTGCCACCATCCTGGCTGCCATGACAAGATTCATTATCACTGATGCTGAGACCTGCACCTGAAACAGCGAAACAAACAAACAAACAAAAAAAGAATCAGTGAGAACGATATCCTGACACAGAAATGGTGATATCGTGTCCTGCTCCACTTTATTCCTATTATTGAAATGCTTCCCTACTCCACAGCAAGTTTCCTCGCAGTAGTCTACAATTCTGAATCCACAGATTGTAACATTATCTCACGTAGTTTTCTACCATTCAGATATGCTTTTTCATAATCCCACTTTCAGTCGCTTTATTTGTCGCAGTAAATGGTACAATAGCTATTCAGAGGTTGCCTTGAAATCAGAAGAGCATAAATCAAGGCCTTGCTTAGGCTGGGTTCATGGTCTGGCTGTTACAGTCTGGTATTTCCAAGGACTTCTTCATGAAGAATGGATTTTTAATGGTACAATTTCCCTGTTAAGCTATAATTCCAGCTGTTTTAATAGGATTGTAATTTCAACATGAGAAAAGACGCTGACTAAATGTTCTTTAAACCCACATTTGGCACAAGTTGGTGTATTGTGTTTTTCTTCTGCTGTGAGAGAATACTAGACTTTGGTCCATGGAAACTTCCAAAACATATTTGGAAGAGACTTCTGCAGGCCACCTTCTCCATCCTTTTTTCACAGGAGTTCTGCTAGCTTGTGGCTCCCTTCTTGTTTCTTGGGGGTTTGGGGTTTTTTTTGGGTGGTAGGTTTGAGTTGATTAATGTGAAGATATATCATCCTGCACTATTATTTATGAAATGTGTATTTTTTCAGACCACTTCTTTACAGACTATCAGTTGTAACTATAAACTTCAGTGCATTTTCAGCTCCTCTCTTTCAGTTGTAGAGAGAATCCTAAGCAATACATGGGTCTTGTTAGGATGTAGGGTGTCTAGGCTTTAACTTTGTTGAGAACTGCACATCAGCTTAATTAGGCAAGCTGATTTCACGACAGACTCATTTCGGGCATGGTCTTACAGTGATGTCACTTACAAATAACTAGGGAAGCTACTTACTTGGGGCAGAGGTAGATCTGTAACTATACGCAGTTCAAGGGAGTTGCAAAGGAATGACATTTGGCTCAAAAAGACCCAAATGGGTTTTTCTGGGAGAAGCAGTGATTTGGGTTTTTGTGCTAAAAAATAATTTCTGGAGTTTCTTTCAGTTGTACTGTGCATCTCTTATTTCTGCCTCAACTGACACTCCAGGCTTTGTGTCTTGTTCGGCAAAAGACAAGATAAAGGACATTTACTTTTTCTGAAATAATCTCATCATTTTCTGTACCCCTGTTGTCCCACTTCTACAAAGTTTTTTCCACAGCACCCTTCCTTCCACCACCTCCCAAGTACAAAAGAAGTATGGAAAAGGGAGAGACACTGGGATGCTCCTTTGCTGAGCCAAGTCAGGCTGCAATCTTAAATACGGTTTGGAGAACCTGAGCAGAAGAACCTGCAGGACTGGGCAAGATTTCGTGCAGAGGTTTGGAAGAAGTCTTGGTAGGGGCCAAAATTGGGTGCAGCGCTGCGTGAACCCAGCCCTACCACATCCAGGTGAAAAGCAGGTATTTCTGCACCACGATCCTTCCTGTAGCTTGTTTTGGTGTTTGAGTTGTGGAGTGAATGTGCATTCATTGACATCTACTACATGAGTCCTGTTCTTGGGTCTGTAGGACCCAAGCTCTTGAGAGACCGGCAACTACTGTCAGAGTATGACAAGAGTAAAAATCCATCAATGTACAGAGATACAATAAAAAAGACAAGAAGATTAGGCTCTGAATCTTTAAAATACTGGTTTATAAGTGTACCGAAGATGATTAAGCCATACCTACTGATTTAAATTTATATGCATATTTAACCTTTTAATTGAACTGTGGTCCTAAGAACTAAAAGCTGCTTGAAAGTCCTGGGAAAAACAGCAATTGCCTAAGCAGGTTATTTATATTTTTTTTCTTATCTTCTCTAAAACTGTTTGTTTTAGAAAGGAAATGTAACTGTAATAGAGAAGATAAATCAGACTGCTGTATTTACCATTTGGGGACGGAAGAACAAGGCAATAACCTCGAAGTAAATAGAATACTTTGAATGGAGAAACAAAACAATACTTCTTATGTAGCAACATCGACATTGGAATTCACTCAAAACATTGATTTAGGCTGAAGAGGGTACAAATTTCCAAAAGGGAAAAAATACATTATTGAAAATGTTTAAAATCATATTATATAAATATGATCACCCCGGGTTCAGATTTTAAAGTGTTGGGATTAGAAAGATATTTGTCTAACTGGTGGCTATACTGCAGTTATTCAGTACAGCGTTTCTTAAAGAATCTCCTGCTGGTCACTATAAAATGATCGGATATCGGTCTCACATGGTATCATACTATGTATATTCTTAACTCTCACATACATACATGCTTTGTGCATGCTTTGTGCAGAGTAAGAGGAGGTTGTTTTTGTTATGGAGGTTCTTGTCAAGAACTTGGTAAACCAGAGACTGAAGTAAGCCACTCTGGGTGCACAAGGGCCCTGTTCTGCTGCTGATGCAAAGACAAACTGTGCGAGAGCTGATCCTTTTTAGGAACAAGAGCTGAAATGTAACCAGGATAACAGCTTATCAAACAGTCGGCAGACTGGGAAGGGTATGACTGTTTACACGATGGAGTTTCACAGAGTTCAAAGGTCCTGCTTGTTCTCAGATTAGAGCAGAATTCAAACTCACTCAGATCCCCAGAAGCATCTACTCCCCTAGAGATGCTCGAGTTGATTGGTAGGTACGTAGCGGGGAGCATTACTTTTCCCCAGTCTGTGAAGAGATTATTTTAAGAAAAAGACACAGGAAAACAAGGCCTTTCCTCCTTTCTTTTTGTACAAAGGACTAACCAGAAACTGAAAAGTCACCGCTCGCTTTCTGAGCCCGGTGAGATCCCTCCACTGACATCTGCTGGTGGAAGGATTTTCGTCAGGGCATTCCTACGCGCCCTTCAACACCAGCTGTTATCACCTGCTTGTTCAGATATGTCTCAAACTTTCACTAAAACATTTCAATGGAGGCGGAGTTTGCTTTGTAATTACTGTACTCCTATCTCTGGGGAGACTTTTTATCTGGTGAGCACTTCCAGCTTGCTTTCTGAAACAGTCATGGTTTGTGTTATGTTTATATAATAAGATGTATTAGAAAGACATTAATAAGGCACACGGACCAACTTTTATTCTTCTTTCAGGGTTTTGACTTCACAGAAATGACACCAAGAGACATACAGACTCCTAAAAACAAAGTTCAGACTGGGCTAAAAATGCTTCCTGGATATTATACAGTCACGTTCAACAGCCAAGAGGTAGCATATCTGTGAGCAACCACAAATGAGAAGTTGACTGATATGCAAACTGGCAAGATTTTTTTCTGCGAAGTGATCCCTCCTAAACAGAAATGACGGAGGTTGATAAGGCAGGGGACGAACCCAGCACTTTGCCACCATCTACAATTCATCTGTGCTGTCACAGTTTCCAGGATGTCACAGTGAGAACCTTTCAGAATTTGAAATTTCAGATGTTTCCCCTAGTTCAGGATGCCCAGCGTAAGATGCTTAATTCTTGAATGGGGCACCTACAGTGGTAACTGCAAGGTTTGAAAAATGCTGACTTTGCAACCCTAGCTGAACTAGACTGAAAATTACGAGTTGGTTTGTACAGCTTTGTTATTGTAATAGCTGCATTTATGTGGCCTTTTTGAAATTATACAGTAGATTTTTCCAGGTATTCTCCACACAGAATATTTATTGAGGATTTACTGCATATGCCTCTACCAAGAGCAAAAATATACTGAGATGTGGATGTAGCAATATCCTCCACTGATAATGTCGGATACATATATGGAGACTACCATGTGCTAGGCTCCTATTGTCTGCTCTAACCCATAAATGTCTGTCTTTGCAAACAGCTTCACAGAGGAGTGGGTCACCAGTCAGCACTGGAGGGGTTTGGGCCTCTCTCAAAGGCTTTGCTGTGTTTTGCATATAGACCTCACCCAAAGGAATGAATTGGTCCAGGCTTGTGCATCAGAGAAAGGGGAGGACAAGAGTATTTGTAGGAGATGGGTATAGGGATTGAAGCTCAGAGTTCAGTAAAGCTATTGTGCATTAATGGTATTTATGCTTTAGAGCAAAGCTGACGGACAGCTTGCTGCTTTGGGACTGACTTCATTTACTTCTGTTCTGTTGGCTCTCTTTCTAACTCCCCAGCCCTAATCAGAGTGGACATCCTTAGGGAATTCTGCTATATTGGGCTTTAGTTTCAATGATAGTAACATAGGACTGTGAAAATCAGGAAGGCAATGGTCTTCTTTAATTGTCTATCAATATAAACCTTGCACAGCAAATCAGAGGAAAAACAAGCTCTAGTCCAAAATGACAGCACTTTTAAAGTTAATTAGTGCAATCAACAAAAACTAATTAGTAAATAATTGTCCTTCTCAGTAGAAGATAAGCTTTTGATTCATTATAAGAGCCATAAAGTAAATATAATAAAATAAAAAAGCAAAATTCATAAACAGTAAAAAAAAAAATAACCACAAAACCACAGGTTTTAGCACATATCAACAGGCAGGACATGTCCCTAAATTGTTTCTTCATACCATAATTTTTCTGTAGTTCCCTTCACATAAACTGCCTCGAAGCTGGCTGGCCTTCCAAAAGATTCCCACAGCATAAGAGAAGAGGTGATACAGTGAGCATAGTGAATTCTAACTATGTATTTCTGTATAGACATCAACATACTTCATGGAAAGGAGGAATTAATTGGTAAGGCATTCAAAGGCCACGGCTTTATCATATAAGAAGTCTGGCTTTTGGATTTCTTGCACCAAACAAAAAATTCTATGGCCATGTGATGCAAAGCTTGCATAAAGCTAGCATAGAAGTTGGCTGAGAAACTGTACACTGCTGTCCACCTAATTTGCTAGAAATGCAGTTGTATGTCTTCATCTGATCCAGTCCGTACTTCAGGTTAATCTGTAATTAGGCCCAGCATTAATGATTATGGAACCAAGGGCTAAGTGCGCAGTTCTACGACACATTTCTTTAGCAATAAGGCCAAGTGTGTCAACGCATCTATTTGTGGAGCTGCACTGCAAACTGCAAATTACTAAACCATTGCAAGTTAAAGAATAAAGTTGTGATGTGGGGGTTTGTTTGTTTTTTTCAGCCTGAATCAGCCATCCTTCATTTCTGCTGCTGACAGTGGCCAGCTGCAGTGCAAGGGTGGGGCAGGAGGACGGGAATGAGATTTTTAGCCTTGCTGTGATTATGTCCTCATTCTCAAGGATCCTGGCTGCCAGATTAAACCTTGCAGCTACAGACAGTGAGCATAAATTAAAGTAACCTCCAGATAGCTCTGAACTACATAAGCAGAAAGGACAGATGAAGTGCAAAGAGGCATAAAGACATTTTTGCATATTCCTCTGCTAATCAGTGCTGATCCTCAGCCAACCTTCAGAGTGGAAGCTAATATTTTAGCACAGCTAAGGCTCATTTGGTTACAGATTGACAGTTTTAGAGAACGACAGATAATGGAGGTTTCTGTTTCTGCTTATCAGAGGTAAAGCTCAAGAAGTAGCACAGCAAGCATTTCTACTCTTTCTCCCAGTTTAGGAGTGATAAAAACAGCTAACGAGGTGCAAAGCACCTTCTCCTGCTCTTCCAGTGGCTTGTCTGCTTGAGATGAGGAATTCTCAGCCTACTGAAATAAAGTCTGGACTAAAATGGTTTGAGAAGCACGGCTTACAGCAAATGACAGATAAAAGCAAGGCAGCAAAACCACATCTCAGCTGCCCATGCCTTTTAGTCTATTTAGAGAAGAGGTACTGGTCTTCCAGTTGCTGATGACCACTGCTTCCTTGGGACTGGGACTGATGTCAAAGGGCATCAAAAGTGATGTGGAGTGGCAAGGGGAGAGGGGGAGAGGAAGGGGAGGAAGAGGAAGAGGGAGAGGAGAAGTGTCTAACCTGAGTGGTTGCAGTTTCATGTGAGTATGAGCAACAAAGCAAGAGAGGAAGAAGAAATGTGCTGCCAGGACAGACCAGGAGACAGGGTCCTTTCAGTGCCTGCTACCTTAACTGTATCATAAAATTCCTGTCAGTCCACAGCTCAGTGAGTCCTTTAGCAGCACAAGCCTGTATTGCCAAACAGAGAAGACATCCCACTTTCCACCACCTCATCTCCCTTTTTATTGCTTCCACGTCGTTCCCTCCCTCATGCCATGGGGAGCACCATGACTCCTTGGCTATGCACTGAACTGGACTGCGAGCAGGTCTGGGTGAAAATAATAAAAAAGATACTATTTTCACTTGCAGAAAAGCTCACCTTTTTTGGTTTAAAGTACGTGTTGAGCTACAGCTTATATATAAGGTAATAGCTGCTAAACATTTACTTCGGTGGTTACAGCTGCTCTAACCTCAACACCGCCTCTTCCGTTTGCCTTCTTCAAATGTTGTGTGTCGGGCTGGAACCAGATGGGCAACTGGTTTGGCTAGAAACCGTCTTTTTTTGCCCCCATAATGTTGCCCGGGAGAGGTTTTGGGCACACCAAAAAGCATTGGGGTAAGATGGTCGTTACTTGAATCAGTAATGCAAACAAAAATATTTTTCTCCAACTGTGGCCTGAGATCTCTGCTTCAAACCACTTCAATACAAAAGGCTCATAAGAAAAAATGTTTCTAAAATGTTAATATTAAAATATTAATAAAATAATTTAAATAATATTAAAATATTATAAATAAGACCATAATAAAATCTAGGCAAAATAATTGAATGCTGATTCTAGACCTACTTCCTTAGAAGGACTGAAAACTAATTAACTAATGATGGAGCTAGAAGATTTATTAAAAAATCACTAAATGCTAAAGTTGTGGTGAATTATATTAACCATGAGTTTTAACTACTGCTGTTGCCTAGATTGTTCCTTGGGATTTAAGACTTTGTCTTCCATGGTGTGCAGAGTCTACTGCAGAAAATAGGTCAACTTATGTCAACTGAGCTGCTTAAGCAGTAAACACTGTGTGCGATGGTGGGAGTGTTAGATGTGAATGGCTTTATATCTCATTAACTATCTATGAATTTTCTGGTTTCCTTCAAAATATCCAGGAAGGAGTAAAAAAGTAAAAGTTATCTTAGGTACTTAAAAAAAGGTTTGCAACTTTAAGTGTATGCACCTAGATGTGAAAGTCTTGCCCAAAATCTTTAACTGCATAGCAAAGTAGAAGTAGTTTGCAAAATGTCCAAGAAAATTAGTAGGTACCATATAAATTTTGTGACAATTTTCATAAAAAATTGTATTTCTTAGTACCAGGCCAGTTATTATTCATAGAACTATCTTCATAATTAGTAAAGTGTTCTGCAATGGAAATTGGCTCAGGAGATAAAGTATCATGAATGTACTGAATAAAACTACCCCTTCATTAGCAGCATTCCGAGTCTTCCAACCAGTTTGACTGTTTTCCTTGGTGTCACTGTAGGGAACAAACTCCTGAAATTACTGGTGCCAGAGCACTTAACCTGCTAATGTCACCAGTATCTTGCTGTTGCCTCTTGCAAGGCTCAGTGGTATCTTCAAAGGTCGTTCAGATGACCCCCTGCTACCAAGGATGTCCATTTGTATTTCACTTGGTGCCTAGAGGAGGTGGGCTTGGGTTAGCATCTGCTCGGTCTTATCAGGTGATACTCTTTTGCCTTTGTGGTCATCTTCTCAGACATTCCCATGTTGACCTATCTTTGGATCACGTTTCACTCCATTTCTCCTGCGTGTGGCCATGTCTGGCCATCTATTTATATCACCATTTGAATAACCTGAAGTTTCGTTGGTGGAGTGGGTAAGAAGACAGAAAAGCAATACAGAACAGAGGGCAAAGCCTGGGATTTTGAAGACTTGAAGTCTAAGTCTATGGAGGGGAATCTGATTGCACATGATTTGTTTTGCAGGCGTAGTTTGAGTGTGGACACCTAGAGTGGCCTCCCCTGCTTCTGTCCTCCATCAGCACGGTCAGCCCACAACAGCTGGCTCTCGTGTTTGGGCAGAAGTCTATGCAGTTTATCTTTCCAGTGTACACTGTTTTTCAGGTCCAAATGTATATGATATAAATATTTTGTCTTACACTTATTGGGAGAATCAATATTTACGAAGCTACACTGTTCTCACAGATATATATATACATATAAAATAAAGCTAGGCATTTTATATACTCTATATATCAACTTAAAAAGAAAGGAAAAGAAGACAACTCAGCCCACGTCTAGAGGCAGCAAGTTAGCCGTTTAAGTATTTGGGAAAAAAATATCAGAGCCTCCAGTCTGCTGCCATTTTCTGTAGGTCTGCTTATCATCATGACTCAAAACATATTTTTGCAGATTCCTTCACTGTTATTTTAAATAGCCTGCACAGTATTTTTTATGGAATAGCAGTCCAAGGCAAAACAACTTTACTTCAGATTTTCACTGGCAATCGGATTATATTAACACGTCTCGTTAATTGGATTTCATGGAATGGTGACACCATTAGAGTGAAGAATAACATAACAACCTTTAAGAAACAAGGATAAGAGTCACTCACCAGTCTTTAGAGCAAATATTAGGTCATCAAACTCCTGTGATTCCTCATCAGCAACCAGTGAGCTGGTACTAAATCCTCCAGAAGGGTGGAAAATATTGCCATTTTGTGGACTTTGCTTAAAGGCAGCACTAGCTTGACTAGCAGGCTGCAATGATGCCCTCTCCCAGTCTGCAGGCACCTGCAAAGTTTTAAAAGACACAGAAATGCAGTAATCATCAAAACTATACTAAAAAAATGGGAAACTATGACCCGAGACGAACTCGAGAACATGGGATTTTGGAACCAGCTATTTTGTCACTTCCATAGTGAACAAGATAGCCTTTTTTTTTTTTTAGTTAAAAAGAAAAAAACCATATGTAACTCACAAGCCGTTTAACATGTGTTTATTATGCCTGTCCTAGCTATATCAAAAATATGAAAAAATATTGCTATTTCTGAGCATTAGCCCCTGATATGGAGAACTTTAAATTAAAGCACTCAAACATTCCAGGTCACTCCTCTCTTACCACTGCCTCCTACTCTTCTGGACCCTGCTTCTCCCTTCTACAGCCACTAATCACCGTTGGTTTCCATTGTGTGATCTACAGTTGGCAACCCACTGCTTCCCATGTCTAGCAATGCAATATTTTAAAGTACTTTGCCGGTCTTCGAAGGTTCTGGTGGTGGTATACAGCCTTACAGTTCCAACATCAACTTTGCTGTGGTTCATTTGCCCCTTCAGTTTAAGGTGGAGCTACACAAAAAATCAGAATTTCAGTTAATGAGAAAAGAGGTGTTTTTGCAAATCTATCTCCTCCCTAAATGTGATGAAAAGCCAAAATACTGCACTTTTTTAAAAAAATAGACTTTAGGACAATCAAACTATAGTTTCTTGGTTTACCACTCATCCACTCTTTAGGAGCTCAGGAACATAAAAGCTTGCCATGCAGAGCTGAGAAGCCATGCTGTCCTCTAAGATGGGGAGTGAAGCATCACGTCCAGGAGATGCTGAGAAGTTGAATAAATATAGTGGTCTGCCAGGAGGCAGTTGAGGCCTTCAAAATCCAGATAAAACTACGGTCAAGCAGGTAGAGAAATGGGCAAACAGGTGCCAGGAGAGCAGATTGGTTTCCAGAAAAATTATTGCTAGAATTGACACGGTCCCTTGAAATATTTCAATGCCATTAAATCGGTGTTTTTCTTGGAAAAACTGTTTAGCTGGAAAATTTTAATCAACATGCACATGTACATAGCAGCAAAAGCCACCTTTGTTTACTACAAGTAGTGAAAAGTGATACTAGCAGCATTCCTGTTTCAGCAACGAAGAGACTGAAAATCGCCTACCTCAAAATTTCTATTCTGTTCTATTCTATTCTGTTCTATTTCATGTCGTTCCATTCCATTCCATGCCAATCCTATTTTATCCTAATTTTCTTCTAATTTTATTCTAATCTATTAAAATTTCCAGAATTCTTGTTCAATATGACTTTGGAAAACTAAAGACTTAAAATTCATCGAGGACCTGTAGTAAGCTGAAAGAATTAACCTGATATTTTGATTTCTCATGGCCTACTTTTGACAACACTAACCAGTCTCTACAACACTCCAGTAGAAAAGGGGAAATTCTCTAGATGGGATGCTACCAGTAAATTGTAAATTCCAAGAATATCACCATGGCTAAAGGTAACAATTCTTACGGAAAAAAAAAAAAAAAAAGTAGAATCCCCCCCCTTCCCCAAAGCCAATCTATGATAATTAGCATCTCATTCCTGTGTATTACACTTCAGTGCTGCCACTGAAATCTCCAGGTATGTTTTCAATACACAAGGTAACGACTATAGAGCACTGCTACCTCTTCCATAGCACTGATGAGGTTCTGAGTGGACTTGCTGATCTCTCCACCTGCAGCTGGCAGACCACTGCCATGTGTGAAGAAAGCCGATCCTGGAGTTGTATGCCCATTCATGTCTACGGTATAACTTGCTTTCACAGGACAGCAAAGTTGGTTGTGCAGGATAAAATATACCACAAAGACATAAAGGCCCTGAAACAGAGAGAGAAAAAGAACATCAGGGTGTGAAATGCGGGGAGCTTAGATCAGAGTTTGAACGCCGTCATGGCAAGGTTGTGTATGCTACAGCAGATGCCTTCCCTTGCACCAGCAGTCTGTGCCTCAAAGGGCTGCAGCCAGGTTCTATGGGAAATAAGAGACAACGTCACTGCCCATCACAGATCTGGAAATTAAAAGTAAGTTCATATCCTGAGGCCTCCAGCTAAACACACACACATACAAAAAAAACCACCCACAAAACAGCCCAAAAGAGTCATTGAAAACGATTACTTGGTTGAACCCACACAGTTGCAAAGCAAAGCCAAGTTCCCAACAACAAGAAAACCAACTCGAGTTTCACTGTTGTCATAATAGTGAAAATGTGGTTAAGGGCCGCCCGTACAATAAGATTCGGCTGCTGGCCCCTGGCCACAATTCTCCATTTCCTTACTGACCTGCTGGATCTTTGCATTCTTGCCCCAGTTTCAATCTCGTGCAAACTGCACTGCTGCCGTCACAGATACCAAGTTGTAACTATAAATTAGACTCTCTGTGACATCCACTAATTCAACACTCTCTTTCATTTGTGATTACTACAAAGGCTCTGCTGTATGCCTCTCTAGTTCTTTCAAACTTGCTAATTTTGACCTTTAGACTTAGCCAAGAAAAGTATTATAACCATGCCTTTTGTTTGCAAAGAAATCCAGTGATTGAACTTTTGAATATGAAACCTCATTTTCTCTAATTCTTAAGTTGCACTGATACTGAGGGAAAATAATCCATTTTAATTGATTAATCTACTAGTTCAATAATTACTAAAGAAAGGGTTAACCAAAAGAATCACAGAATCACAGAATCACAGAATAGTAGGGGTTGGAAGGGACCTCTGTGGGTCACCCAGTCCAACCCTCCTGCCG